CACCCCCATCCCCACCCCACCCCCCAGAGTGACTGCTACGGCCGGAGCGTTGCACGCTGCGCTGATCCAAAGCCAGAAGACAGATGCTTCTCCTGGTGTCCCATGGGGGTGCAGGGCCCAAGGACTTGGGCCATCCTCCACTGCACTCCCTGCCCACAGCAAAGAGGTGGACTGGAAGAGAGGCAACCGGGACAGAATCCTGCACCCTGACCGGGATGGAACCCGGGGTGCCAGTGCCGCAAGGCGGAGGATTAGCCTAGTGAGCTGCAGCGCCGGCGGCAAGAGTATATTAAGAACTAAATAAATACTGCATTTTGTTCTTCTTACTACTGTTCCTAAGACAGTTTGAAGACAGAAATCTGGGAGAGCAGGCATGACTACAAAGAAAAACACATTAAACTGAATTTTAGGTCTTAGCCATTGCCTCATATCCTCTCCCCTCAGGAACATAGTTTTGTTGAACAACTGTAAATCAACAGAGACACTGTTTGTACAGCCAGAATCTTGTCAAAGAAAATCCTAGGGTAATATATACCTGATTTCAACAACAAACAATTATAGCATATGAAATGGTGCTAGAGTAATTACTTATAGTTTATAGACATGGAATGATCTGTATTCAGAGTTAGTGGAGTATGTTTTTTAAACATACTGCTAGATGTAGAACAAAACCGGTTCTATTTTCATGGGTTAATAACATCCTCTAGATTTTTAGAATAGTTAATGTGTGAATTCTGTATTTACTAAATGTCTCTATTACTCTAGATATATCTTACTTACTAGATATCAATTTGCCACTATGAAGGAATGCTTTTTAATTTTTAAAGTTATAATTATAAAATAAATGTACCTGGAATTATAAATCTAAATTAATGCTTTCTTCAAGTGGCCATTTTGAGAGATAACATATATGTTCTAACATCTTCCATAACTAACCCACAAAGGAAAGTCCATGTTTTCATGCCTTAGTAAATTCTTGTTTGGTCCTCTCAGAACTTGGATCATGAACCCTAACTCACTTGGAGCTTGGATCTTGGAAGCCTAACTCACTTGCTATGTACTTCAACTGAGCTAGCCCAAGTGACAGTCACTTTAATCGAGGGGGAGGGGGACAAAATGTGGATAGTGCATACTTGCTTCATTGAATAGTGTAAATTCATTTTCTCAAGAACAGCAAGGATGGGAATATTATAATTTTTATTGAGAGTTCAAAGAGATCATTAAATTTAGATTTGCTTTTTACTCTTACTTTTTCTAATTTTTAGATGTAAAATGATTGCCATTTATTGAGCACTGATTAGGTACTAAGTTTTTCCACAAAGATTTTCAACATGCTATTTCAAATTCCTGTAGCACCTCTAAGAATACCATACTAGTGTTTCCAAGAGGAGAGAAGTTAACAGACTTGCTTATAGACAGAGATAAAAAGCATGAGAACTACAAGGTCAACACAACTAAGTCAGATCTAAAGAGCATCTGCTTTCCACTACTGTATCTGTTAATATTTTGGGGAATTAGCTGAGAAAGAGTTAAAAAAAATTTCCAGCCCTATGGGTGCCAAAATTTATTGACTAATCTACCATGTAGGGTTTGGAATAACTTCAATATTATCTTTGTTAAGCAGAAAGAATTGAAAACATGCTCACTAAAAGGTTTCACCTCCAGACATCTTTTCAAAGGGGCAAGGAGTAGGAGTTATTTTAGGGCAGGAAAACAACAGCAACATTAGCAACAGTGATGACAGGGATTCTTTATTGATGGGCAGCCTCTGTTCGCTTTAATAAATTATTTCTAATTGTTGCAGAAAGCCCGGCAGTAATGAGGTCTTAGTCTTGAGAGAATCGTCTGTGTAACTGAATTAACTCTTTAGAAATATCTGCAGCTATAAGTAAGGACTAAGAACATTTATTTGGGATTATTATAAATGGTCCATGTTTCTATAATTTATTAATCCTTTAATAAACATAAGAACCTAATATTTCTAGAAAAGCTCATTATTACCATCATTGTTATTACATAATGAAAAAAGCAATAGATTTATATATCATCCCACAAGCTCATCTTGCTAAAACTCATGGAGGAACCCATTAACCCTTAGTATGAAAATAATTCTTAAATTTTGGTATGTTGTTGCAGGTCTATTCATTTTCATTTTCTTTTCCCCTCTTTCCAATGTCTGGCCTAAGTAAGCAGAATTATTCGGGGTGTGCTGTTGTTACCCTTTCCAATTAAAGATAATTGAAGTAAAAAATACTCCATTTGCATAGAATTTTGATCTGTGCTGGATTCTGCATATGTCTGTCAGGGCCATATTTTACCCAACCATATTCTCTCACCAAGGGCCGGGCCTGGAACAAAATGCATTATTCAAAAATATGCAAATCTCTGCCAAACTCTTCTTATGTTTTTATTAGCTAAGGGCTTCTCAATTTAGTCTCACAAATCTCAGTTTCTTCTAAGACCAGATGCTTCTGGAATCATCAGCTCAGCTACTTCCACCATCTAGTGGCCAGAGAGAGAAATGAAAGGTCTTTACATATTTGAAGATGTCTCATTTTCTAAAGTAGCAATGGTATTACTAAAAACATCAGGTCTAGAAAGAAAATAATAATGTTTTTAAACTATGTTCAGGATATCATTACCATTAAGGTCAAAGGTATTTCAAAACATTTCTTTATTCTTTCTTTAAAAGTAAATTGTTGAGGCCGGTGCTGCGGCTCACTAGGCTAATCCTCTGCCTTGCGGCACCGGCACACCAGGTTCTAGTCCCGGTCGGGGGGCCGGATTCTGTCCCGGTTGCCCCTCTTCCAGGCCAGCTCTCTGCTGCGGGCAGGGAGTGCAGTGGAGGATGGCCCAAGTACTTGGGCCCTGCACCCCATGGGAGACCAGGAGAAGTACCTGGCTCCTGCCTTCAGATCAGCGCGATGCCCCAGCCGCAGCGCACCAGCCGTGGTGGCCATTGGAGGGTGAACCAACAGCAAAGGAAGACCTTTCTCTCTGTCTATCTCTCTCACTGTCCACTCTGCCTGTCAAAAAATAAAAAAAATAAGAAATAAAGTAAATTGTTGATCAAGTAATAAATATTTTAAAACATCTGCTTATTGGCCAACACAATGTTAGACCTTGTAGAGAAGCTTCCTATTATGAATGTATAAGATACAATCTCTTATTTCTAATATAACTTAGTTAATAAAATAAAAAGGGCTAAATGTGGTCAATCACCCTCTGAATGCTTTGGTTTCCTTAGTAAGTCCCTCTTTCTCCACTCAGCCCCTAGCATGGGGGTGGGGGTTCCTGTGTCTCATTCCTTTGCATTCTCCTCCGCTTTACTGAGCAATTCCATCCACACTCACACCTTCAACTACACTGAAGACTCCCAAGTTCTCCTTTTCTGTATCAAATCTCTCTAAATTTCCAGATCTTTATTTCAAACTTCCTGTTGAATACTTCTTCCTGGGTACCCATAAATAATTCAAACTCAATTATTTGAATCTAAATTCAGAATCTTTCCTTACCTCCACCCCATGCTGCTGCTCTAAAATCTATTTTTCCTCTTGTTTTATTGATTGCATTTCATGATACTTCCCTTACCCAATTGCTCAAATTTTTAAAAATTATGGATTAACCTCTGTTTCCAGCTCCTCTAACTTCTATACTTAATAAATTTTAAAGTGTCAATCATATCTTTTCCTAAATAAGCTTTCCTATATATCACACACTACACACCAAATGTCTCTGCTTTATCTCAGAGCATGCCCATCTCCTAAATTTTATTTAAAGCCCTTGATTCAGATATCTCCCTTTCCAATTTTTCTTTCACTCTGCTACAAGACATGAATAATGGTCTAGTTTGCAAATTAGACCATGTTATTCTCCTTCTCAAATTTTGTAGTCATCCTTCATATTATCTATAAGGTGAGGTTCAATTTCCACATAAGATCCTGCACTTCCTATTCCTACCTATCTTCCTTGCTTTAAGGTATGTTTGGACCTGTCCCATGCTGTTTTCCTTAATCCTTATTTCCTCTCCCTCTGTCCTGCTCAACCACCTGTCATTCTCAGAATTCTTCCATACTGTTGCACAGCTGCTGGAGTCCAAGGCAACCTTGACCTTCCTCCTTTATCTACTACTTCTTTCCAATAAAAAAAGATTTCATTTTAATTGTTTCTCTAACCACGCTTATCCCCACATCTCCACTTCCAAAGGATATTAAACAATTTTTCCTTAATCTTATAAAAAATTACATTTTCCTTGACACATTTTGTATGCACACAAAATGCATACAACATGGCATAATGAAATTGGTTTTGCTCCAAAGCCTATGATGTTTTATAATTACCACAACTTTCTACATGGAAGTAATGAAAGCTTAGACTGAGATGATAGCTGTGTATACAAAAAGAAAGTTGATAAAATTAAGATATTAAAATAAAGATATAAGATTAAGGTGAAAAATAACCCCAAAGTTTTCATTTTAAGATATTTGAATAATAGGTATATATACTACTCTTAATAAGAAAACATCAAAAGCAATAAGGATAGCCACAATTTAAAGATTTATTTATTTTTGTATTTATTTGAGAGGAGAGTGGCAGAGAGGGAAGGAGGGAGAGAGAAGAGGGAGAGAGACAAAGAAAGAGATATCTTCTAACTACTGCTTTACTCCTCAAATGCTACAACAGAGGGGAACAGGACAGGCCAAAGCCAAGAGACACGAACTCTATCTAGGTCTCCCACATGGCTGGCAGGGACCCAAGAACTTGAGCAATCATCATTTTTTTGCTTCCTAGGCACATTAGAAGGAAGCCAGATTGGTAGTTTAGTAAGTAGGACTTGAACCAGCACTCTGATTTGGAATACAAGAATCCAAAGAGGTGGCTTAACCCTCTGTGCCACAACACTTGCCTTGGGAATAGCCATTTTTGTGTGTATATATTTCTTGTATGTGAAGCTCTGAGTCAAGAGCCTATGCACATTTTTCTTACTTAAAATTCACATGAGTAGATGTCATTACTCTGCAATTAAAGAAACTGAAGCTTAGAAAAGTTAAATAACTTGAGCAAGCTCACCTAGCTTGTAAGTAGGGAATCAGGTATTTTAATCCGGTTGAGTCTAATTTAAGGGCCACGATGAATCCTAATGCTGTACTTTTCTACACTTGATCTTAGCCAAAAGGCCGAGAAGCGATGTACTTTTCTATTCTTTGTATCAGTTATGATCAGTGTGTCTGTTATTCTCAAAGTATATGTGCCTAACTAAAATTTCATTTAGAAGGGTTCTATGAACAAATATGTTTGAAAAATGGTCTGTACTAATTACATTTTCATCTAAAAAGTTTATATTACATATTATCATAGTAAAGGCTCTGAGAAATTCTTCAATATGCTAATAATATTTACTCTTCAAATTTAGTTAAGCAGTTATTTCTATCTTTTCTTTATAGTTCTGACAAAATACCACCAAAATACTTCTGGACATGCTTTCATTGTAGATACAAATAAGAGAATATAAAGAAAAACAAAATAAAAATAAGAAATAAGATTTAATCTAGTTCATGAGAACTTGCGTGTTTATCAAAAACAAGAAAAATCATTTATATAGAGGAAACTGCATAATAGAGTTCAACAAAAATTATTCTGAGCAACAGAAAAAGGTATATTTAAAATATGCTGGCTGTAGTGCACATCAACTCCCTGTGCATTGGATGTTGTGACCAGTGGGGTTGGGCAAGAATTAATAGGAAAGGCTTTATGGAGGAAGAGTGTTTAGTGTACTGCTGGTTAAACTGCACTAGCCAACGATCAAGATATAGCAACTCTAGTAGGAAACAGTGGAGTAAAATACATTTTGTTATCCTGCTGTCTGCAGTTCTGTACATTGCCTTCTTCAAGTCTGAGCTTCCCTCCCATAACTTCCCAAACTTGCACTGTCAATAGATCCTCCAGTGTTTTTCCACATATACTTAACAAGTGCTCAGATGTCTGAGAGTATAGAAGTCCACCGCAACATCACATTCTCCTACTTCCCAATAAAGTGTCCCTGAATTCTTTACAAAGAAATCAGACTCCTCTGATTAAAGTAATTCACATTATTCTATGAAAGACAGTTGTAATTTTCCCTGTAAATAGTCATTGAATCTAAGAATCTGAGATTACTTTGATCATAAGACACAGCAATTTTTAATGAAAAATTTAAATTGAAATGTCAGTTTCAAGATACCATGGATTTTAGGACACATCTAAATTTCAGATATATTAATATGTGATAAAATATGAGGTTCAGAACTGATAAAATTCTGTATCAGAGATGAATAGATAAAGGAGAAAAGGACGATGGTAATTTCTCTCTTTCTCTCTCCCTCTCCCTCTCTCTCTCTCTCCCTCTCTCACATTTTTCTAACATATACTCTGTACAAGATATTCTGATACATGTGTTGGGGCCCTACAGTATTTAAGTTCAAAGAATTTGAGTTCCCATTACAGAGTAAGAATAAGTAACAAATAATTATAATTTGGTTCACCCAGAAGAATAAGATAGATACATAAGATCATGTTTTAGTGTTTGTTGTTTCTCCAACAACTTGTAGGCACTCAGTATTTACTGAACTGCCCTAAACTGAGCAGAAAATTCTTTTGCTTTTATACAGGCCAGTTTCTTTTTTGGAAAAGTCTAGGTATCAACAGAAGATAAAAGCATCCCCATATTCAGGCAAAGAATATAAATTCCCTTAAATTCACTGCTAAATTGCATTTCTCCTTCCAATGCCACACTTCACACTGGCCAAGCCACTCTAATGAAAACAGGCCAAGCAAGTCTATCTATCACCCCTGCAGCTGGAGTGCACCAAAGACATGAATCTTAGAATGGAGGCCTCAAATGATGTCAGATGATGGAAGAAACGCCAGTCAAACCTGCAGCACTGACATTACTCAGCTAATGATTCAGAGCCTGCTCAATGTGACATTGAAAATGTTAGCCAACAATTGTATGCTCTATTTAGGCAAACTATGTGGAAATCCCTAATTTATACCAGAGAGACATATTTTTTTCCAGGAGGATTCCGGAAGCGTTATCTGATTGTGGGCTTTGCCTCATCACTCTTCTCTTTATTGTTTGACCCCAAAACACTAGACAGATCAAAGGCAAACAGATTGAAAATATGACAGGTCTAATGGAGATTTTGTACCTTTACAGCATTTCCCTGATTCTAATAAGGCTTTCATTATGGGAAGACAACACATTAGACTTTAATCATGGCAAGTTTTCCAAACACTTGAACTGTGGTAGCACAATAACTCCTTAACAACTTGCAAAGAAAATGTGTCTGATTGTTATAAAATTGTGTACTAGAATCTGATGTTGCAATGTTGTGCTGGAGTTATATGTGTTTGCCTTTCCAACTACACTCAGCAGCTTTAGGTTGGTATCCAGAAATTCACCCTGATGGAAGTATTTACACCACAAAATTGATAAAACTTACAACTTTTTTTTCCCTACACATTTATCTCTATTACTATTGCTGACAGAAGAAAGGTATACAGATCTTCCTCACTAAGACCACCTAAAAGCACTCTCTATTTAGAATAAACACTACTCCATAAGAAAAATATTCCTGCCCCAAAATAGCTACCCTATGTCCTGGGTGTAGAATCCTTGGATAAACTCACCTTTCCCCTACCTCTTCTTAATACCTTTGGATCCACACCACAGAATTGATGATTCCAAAAAGAGAAGAAACCCCTTTGACCTTGGTATTTCATATTAAGGTTTGTGTAGATTTTCCTGTTTATTGGTGGCTACTTTCTAAAGTGATGTGCAGTGCCTTCCATAAGATGCATCATTACTGTAAAACTACAAAAACCATTTAATATTTCATAAAAAACAGAGAAATAACTTAGAAGGGAGACGGATACAATTGAAAACCTAAGCTAAGGTAAACTACTGAAGGTGAAGACACTTAATTTCAATAAAAAGTAGCCTCCTAGTGCTGCTCCTCAATTTTTAGTAGTCAGCACACAAAATATGGATCAGCATTTATTTTCAAAGATGAAAGGATTCCTAAGAAAGGAAGATATTCATCTGAACACAAAATAGAGACATCGAGTGCTAGAATTAGGATCTCAGACACAGTTTTATTGACCTTTCTGCTGAAGAGGGAGTTTTTTTCTACAAAACCATTGTCAGATCATCACCTAGGCCTGGAAGACTTCAAGAGACCAGGAATTCCTGCCCCATGAATTGGTATGCACCTTTCCTTGGATACAGGTAACTATCAGCAGCTTTTGTCTTAACAATGATCCCAAATATTGATTTTTGTCAGTTATGCACAGGGCATCTAGTCCTGCCTCTGTACGACACCAGCATTACATTGTTCACATGGCCATCTCTTGAGGTAAAAAGGTAAGCCCCCTGTTCCCAATCTCTTCTTCTTCGGGTAAAACATACACATTTCCATCAGTCATCAAATGATTTTCAAAGAAACTCTGGAAAGACACACAATGAATCCAAGAGGCATGATACTTATATATATTTTACACATTAAATGCTATTTTCAGGAATTTGACATTAGGTTATTATAGGTGATAACCATAGCTAGTTTGATACTACAATTTTTGTATACTAAAGTATTTAAAATGTACCAAATCTGGAACAGTATTAAACATAATTTAACTTTTTTTATATTTTGGCCGGTGCAATAAGATGTCACAGAGCACTGGAACCATTTTTAAGACCTTATTTTTTTTTAATGTGGGGCAAAGGTATATAGAAGTGCTGGTGAAATGAAATGTTCTATAATAAAATGAAAATTTCTTTAGCAATAACTAGAGGGTTAATTGAAAGAGGTTTTTTTTCCCATTCCAATTCTCTTCTAATTTAGTATTGGATCTACTTCTATTTTCCTTCTTAAACTTTAATCAACATTTTTAAGTTTTTACCCAAAGCCTAAAATCCAGTAGTACCAGCCCTGTGAAGAAAAGGTGGAGGAATTTGCAATCAGGGAACACAGAAAATTCATGTTCTCATTTAATTGTCCTTCTTGTCAAAATATAATATACCAAGAAATTGCCTAAATTTAAATCAAAAAGGAGTGTTGGGGAAAGTAAGACACCAAATACAAAGAAATCTTGTAAACAATTTGCCCTAGAATAAAATAGAGGCATTGAGGAGCCAATTCACACATTTTCCTCTTTAGTTTAGACTGCAAGGCAATTTTAGGTGTGATCATGTTATATTTATTTGTTTTGTTTTATTTGGGACCAGGAACACTAATGGAAAATGAGCATTTGAGCAGAAGCTTGGTGTACTCCTGGGTTTTTATAAAAGTGTGGTTAACTTCTTTTCATTTTCAATTTTTCACCCTTGGCTCTTTTCTTAGCCTATTTACAGCAACTAAAAGGATTTCCAGACATTCAAAAAAATTGCAATAAAATACATCCCAGAAATAGTACATTAGCTCCAAGACCACAGGAGGACCTTCTGAAAACCAGTGACCACTAACCTGTTTTAAAACAGCATTGTTTTAAAACCATTAAACATCTCAGCATTAAAGACCAACCGCTGTTGTCATCAAAACGTGTAAAGAGACATATAACTGACCTTCAGAGGAGAAATATGAGACTGTAAGACATATCCATGGACATTTTCTATTTGGGACAGGTTCTTTTCTGACACGTGCACGAGTTCCGGGCCCCTTACTTCGTGGGTTAATCGAGGTAAGGAATGATCATGTGGAGCGTCCTCATCTTGGTATCGATACTTCTAGGAGAAAAGGCAAGAAAGAAAAAAGCATTAATGTTCTCAAATGGTACAGTCTGTGCTTCATATTGTAACTTCATTAATAGGACACAGTGTATACCTATTGTTGACTTAATCGAGCAGGCTTCTGAGACTCCTGAGTTGGTCACCACAACCCATCAAGTGCAAGCACAAATGAACCAAATCAACCAATGTTGATGACTTATGTTTGTCCAATCACATAGTCTCTTTGGCAGCCAAGGTTTTGACACAGTGGGTTAAGCTGCCACCTGAAATGCTGGCATCCCTTTTGCATATCAGCTGAAGCCCTGGCTGCTCCACTTTCAAGTTATGTTATCTCCTTACTAATGCTCCTGGTAAAGCAGCAGAAAATGGCTCAAGTCCTTGGGCCCATACCACCTACACTGGAGACCTGGATGGAGGTCAAGGCTT